TGAAAGAGTTACCATCCACATTGAAATTCTCAGCCACCGAGGAATCCTGATTTACAGAAATTTGATACAAGAGAGGAAAGGCATCTTTCAGACACACTTCAGAACACCAAGAGTCTTTCCAAAATTTGATTCTTTCCCCATTTCCCAAGTTGTAACCGAATTCTTCCTCAAATAAACTAGTGTTGTTCATTATACCTGTCCAAATGGAACTTATTCCTTTTGAAATAGGAGAATTGGATCTCCAATCACCCCAGTCCACTCCATATTAGTCCATAATCAGCTTTCTCCACCAAGCGTTTCTTTCATTTGCAGATCTCCAAAGCCATTTACATAGGAGGGCAGAATTGAATTTCTTCAATTTTCTTATTCCTAACCCTCCAACTTCTTTAGGAAGACACACTTGATCCTAGTTTACAACATGAACCTCCTTCTCCTCCTCCCAACCTCTCCAAAGAAAGTTTTTTTGTAATTGCTCCACTCTGTTAGCCACTTTGGAAGAAATAGGAAATAGAGAGAGGTAATAAGTAGGTAAATTAGAAAGAATACTCTTAATCAAAATCACTCTCCCCCCAAAAGAAAGGTATTTAGCTTTCCAGAAAGCCAATTTCTTCTACATTCTTTCAACCACTGGATTCCAAATCTGAAAGGAAGTATATTTAGCTCCCAGAGGGAGCCCCAAGTACTTGATCGGAAGATGGGTAGTCTGACAAGCCATAACTTCTGCACAAACTTCTAGATTTGTAACAAGACCTACAGGGATAATCTGAGATTTACTCAAATTAACCTTAAGGCTAGACAYCACCTCAAACCAACTCAAAATTCCAAGCACCACCTCCAATTGATTAGGAGAAGCATCAACAAAGCATAAGGTGTCATCAGCAAATTGAAGAATATTGACTTTTTCTTTCCCCGGAGCAATTGCGAAGCCCTCCCAAAGCCCATTCTCAGCAGCCTTCTTGCTAAAGAGAGATAAAATTTCCATGACACAAATGAAGAGTAGGGGAGAGAGAGGGTCACCTTGCATCAAACCTCTTGAACATCAAAAAAACCCTGTCGTTTGCTCGTTAATTAAGATGGAGAACTTAGGAATCTTAACACAAACTCTGATCCAGTTTCTCCAAAAGCTGCCCAAAATTCATTTTCTCTAAAACCAGATCCAAGCAGTGCCAGTTAACATGATCATAAGCTTTTTCAATATCCAGTTTACACAGAACACTTGGGGTCCCCTCTCTTATTTTGGACTCCAACAGTTCATTAGCAATGAGAATAGAGTCAACCATTTGTCTACCCGGGACAAAAGCACTTTGGTTACAAGAGATAACACTGCCTAACACACACTTCATTCTTTCAACCAAAACCTTAGCCAAGATTTTGTAGAAACTGTGCAAGAGACTAATGGGCC